TTTCTAATCTAGCTTTTATACCTTTTCACCGTGGCTGCTTGTTGATAGAAAACTTAGTTAAGAATGAGGGTTTAAAAAGACAATGGTGCAATGATTCGTCCCCTAATAATAGAAATCATAGCATTCGCTACAGAATCACAATTTGTGTAATGTTTGTCGTATTAAAAAACAGAAAAAATTGTGATTCTCACTCCATTTCTTAAAACATCTACTTGTTAGAAACAAATTATAACAATAAGGATAACAATTATATCAATTAAAGATGATAAAAAATTGCTGTCTTGCACTCTATCCCTCTTCGGGACAGCTTCTTTTTTACTAAAAGTTCACAGCAGTCAAAGCCATCAAAATCAGAACTCCAAACCGAGCGGATGTTGGTGGAACACTGCTCTTCACCAATGACTTCGCAGTTGTGCCAGTGCCAACGGGATATTCAGCGGTTGATGCCGCTGGTGACGAAGGGGATATTGATGGAGCATTGCAGAGGTCCCCATGGCAGCATGTGAAGTCACAACTTTTGAGATCGAACTTGGGAGTACCTCCTAACTCTGACTCTAAGAGAGGGCAGGTTCGATTCTTAAGCATGCTACATTTCGACATTGTGGCACAGTTGAGGTAATAGATGTCGATGTCGCCGATTGGAAGGGATGTGTTCAATGTGATCTTGCCTATAACACAGGAATCCATTTTGGTTCCAAAAAATGGATCTAGCCTCTGGCTGCAATTTAGACTTTGATTGGGACTGGCACAATAGCTGAGGCCTGTGCTGTTACTTTGCTCCGCGATGGGGATGACTTCGCTCAAGTCTGGTGAACACAGGTGGCATCTTAAGGCCAGGGCTGAAAACAAAGCAAATAAAAATACGGCATGTCAAATAACAGATTCGAAACCAGTTGTTCTATAACTAAAGTCGACTCCCGATGACTCGAACCTTCAAGGGAAATCGAGTAAAGGTGGAGTTGTCGGGCGTTCGAAGCAAATAGCCAGAAGTAAAGGAAATACCAGTTTTTACTGTACAGTGAAAATTTAATTGAAGAAATGTTAAGTGAAAGTGTAGATTATAAATCAGAACATAACGTATCAAGCATAGCCTAAATAGAGCATACGTTATACTCGGTGTTTTAGGAAGTAAAGCTGTTTCACTTTAGATCTGTGACATACAACACCAGCCTATAGTAAAATATAAGACTACAACACGTCAATGTGAAATTCAAAATCAATCGGTTTTTGACGCCAGTACACTGTTCTTTTCGCTACTTTTTAAGCGCCCAAAAGATGGTTCGAGTTGTCGAGGGTAAAATTATATAGAAATGATCTGAGGGGAAACAAAAATTACTTCGAGTTAGCGGAAGGTTCGAGTTACTAAGGGTAAAATTATAGTGTAAATATATGAAGGAAATCCAGGGAAAATCGATTTTGGTTTGAGTTAGCGCGAGGCTCGTGTTAGCGAGGGTTCGAGTTATCGGGAGTCGACTGTATCAATAAAAACTCCCTAAAAATATGAAGAACAAGACGATTTGTGAAGTTATTCCCCGTGTGAGAGAACGAGTCGCGCGAGACGGCGTGGACTCAGGGACCTTTGGTTACCTTTGACTTGAATCGCGACAACTGAATTGGCGTAAATACTAGTAGAATAGTGACCAATATATTAGAAATACGTTATCGCAAAAATCTCGCGAAGCCAAAAGCAGTGAGAATAAACAGAAACAAGCCAAAGGGTAAAACATAGGAGGTAGCGCCCCGGTATATGAACTTGAAACCAACTTCCTCCAGTGCAAAAAACGAGACCTCATACCACTGGGCCATGCGACCACTGCACAGTTTAGGATTAAAAATTGATAGCCTTGAAGTATTTTTCTCTGCCATTCACACTGTTTGAACCTTGTGGAGCTGTATTTATCATGAATTCAAAGATACATGTGACGAAAAATAGCTTAAACGAGTTTTTCTGAACGATTTCGCAATATTTCTACGTTTATCCACTCTAGGACTTTATATGATCGCAACGGTCTTCTCCTTCGCTTCTCTCGCTGAAGTTCAGGTCGCCGTTCTTTCGTTGTTAAATCTTCCACGGCAAGGATTTCCAGCCACTTGTCCAATCGGGCACTGTTGTGTTTGCAGCCTTCTGTTATTTGCCCCAGAAATGCTTTGTGATTCGCCAAGCGATTCGCCAAGCGATTCGCCAACGTACAGTAAACCCTCAAGATTAATTAGCTTAGGGTCAAATGGCATTTGGAAAACACTGTTCATTTAAATTGTCGATAAACATGCCCCACTTTTGCGGGCGGTCAGCGGTAACTCGCGAGACGGCGCGTATTTATTTTAAGTTAGATAAACAAACATGGCGGCGAAAAAAGCAATAGTACACAGAAGACGATTTCTCAAAATCTACCGATTAAAATTTTGTGATATTTGGCAGTAGTTTTACTTTTATTGTATTTTAAATAATGAGAACTTTAAAAGGGATTTTGAAGAGACGAATTTTGTGACACATTTAATAATTACAGTACAATTGGTATATTATTGATTATCTAAAAACCCGTCTGTTAAAATTTAGTCAAATAAGTTTCAAACGGAAATGATTTAAAAATATAGTAAGCTGTGTGCAAGTTTATAGGGAAATCTAATGAGCAAGTTTTATGTAAACTGAGCAAAAGTGAAATTTTAAGGTTGTATTCAATCGTTCATGTTGCCATGGAAACTACGAAAACGTCACATTTTACCTGTCAATCAAAATCTTTCATCAGGATATTTTTTACTTGCCAAGTTTCAGCTTGTGAGCTGGAACCTTTCTCTTGCCATGATTTGGTAAATGACATCTGACTCACAAACTGCCAAAACTGTGTTCAGCCACCTTAAAACAAAGCGGACCTCAAAAAAAACATTCTCCGTGGATTACATATGGCTTGATGCGTAAAATCTACAAACGAAATTATTTAAAAAAGAAAGCTATTATTGAAAACAATACGCGGCTAGTTGGGAACAATAGAAGCAAGCGCGGAATGAAACCAGCAATGCTATCAAGTCAGCCAAACGTCAGTATTTTTTGCATAATTTAGAGTTGAATAAAAAAGAATTCTTCCAAAACTTGGAAGCTAATTAACGAACTGAGCTCGCGTAAATCTTGCACAAACCGCAGTATCACTGAAATTAAAACAGATAACGAAACTGTAAATTCTGCAGTTGAAATTCCAGAGGTTTTTAACGATTTTTTCACATCTATTGGACCAAATCTAGCTCGTAAATTATCACCTTCTAATATCGACCCTGAAAGTTATTTACAACCCACTAAAACAACCATTGGATTGGACAGAGTTCCTTGTAAACTTCTGAAATTAGCCAGTTCCATTATTGGACCATCATTAACGGAAATTTTCAGTAGCTGTATAGACACAGGAACCTTTCCAGAAGGATGGAAAATCGCCAAGGTGACTCCTATCTTTAAAAAAGGATCAAAATCTGACCTGAATAACTATCGACCAACTTCTGTATTGCCATTCTGCAACTACTTGAAACAACGAACAACTGGTCTATTAATATAGATAACAGCCTCTTAAATGGGGTGGTTTATATCGACCTTAAAAAGGCTTTTGACACCACTGACCATGCAATTTTGTTACGGAAACTTGCGAACTATGGACTTGATCTGGGTTCCCTACGATTCTTTGGGTAGAGGTCGTGGGTCGTGGCTCTGGGTAAATGTCGTGGGTGAAAAAAGGTATAGAAAAAATGATAAAGTAAAGTAATTGAAAACAAAATTAATAGAAAAAAGTTGTAAAATATTTATGAAACGAAAATCTCCTTGATTGCCCTTTTAACGGCTTCTAGCTTCTTCGTCTTTCTGATATTTCCTTAGCTACGTGGAAACACCCGTTTCTCCTCGCTCTTCGCCGCTGAGGACGTAGGCTACGTAAGACTTGCGTTCCCTTGGACAACGTCACTGTATAACTCGGTCAAATTGTCCGGTCAAACCTATTTTTGCTCGGACATATCCCATCAAGATTGGCCGGACGGAAAACATCGATTACGTCTTATCGCTATAAAAGTGCCCCCCCCCCCTTCCCATGACGTTTAAATATGAAACAAGTAAATTTCAAAGCATCTATTGTACATGAGAGCATTGATCTCAATGGAGGAAAAGTGGAACGCATGGTACAGCAAAATCAGTATCACATTTATGCGTACAACTATTGTTTCAGTTCTATGTCTTAGATAGGGTTAGTTTTGAAATTGACGAAACTGACTGAGGCTTGCAATCTAGCTAATTTTCATAATAATACAAGCTAACTGAACAAGGAACACAACAAGAAACACAAGTAGAATCGACTTCCACTGATATCAATGACACAATTTGAGCTTTCACTGCTGTATCTTATTAAAAGGGACCGGGGAAATGATACTAACAGACAGCTCTCTTTTTTCCATTTAGAATATTACAACAGCAGCCTAATTTTGCTACTTTTCGTCAATTTCAAGTCTATACTCCATGGGAAAACATTACCTTGCGAAGTATGACGTCCGTAAATCCAATTCTACATTACCATCACAGGGGTTGATCCAGGTTTTTTTTTAGGAGGGGGTGCACTCGTCTCTTGCTCTACTTCAACACCAATAAACCACATAGTTTTTTTTTTTTGCAGAATACCAGTTGTATTAGAAAACCGCAGGTCACCTCAGGGGGGGAGGGGGTGCGCACCTCCTGCACCCTCCCCCTAGATCCGCCCCTGCCATCACTTAAAAGCTTAGGGGCGTGCGGGAAGTAATGATTGGTTTCTTCCCATCTATATTATTATTTAACAAGACAATATGAATCATGACTTTTATAGATGACTATATGGCCCCGTGGAATAACTGGAATTATAAACAATGTTGTGAATTAAAGAAACTAAAGCACTTTGCTCTGGTTTTAGGCGAAACTGTAACGGGAGGAAATTTCACTGCGTCAGGCGGCTTTCGGTCTGACTAACCAAATTAGCGGGAAAGTCGAACTCGGTAAACAAAGGAACTAAGGCTCCTCACGATGATGTGAGAATTAGCAAATATTGATCTGCTAATGGGAAATGCTGGCGGGGAAACTGCAATTTGGTAGAGCGACTGGCTTGCTACCGGCACCCGTTACTTCTGCCAGGGGTACAGGGTCTTATTTCCACGTCCCAAAGTACTAGATTTCGGACAAGAACTGAAACTTCTCTATAATGCTGCAACTTCTTTATTGTAGAGTAAACCTCGTAGAAAGTACTTCACACTCAATAAGCCCATCGATAGGTAGGTAATCAATTTAAAACAGCAGTTTAAGCGCTACTTTTATACTGTCTTAAGTAAACACAGGTGTTAAATTATCATAATGAATAAAAAACCTATTCAAAATACACGTGCAAGCAGAACAACGGGTTACAATTCGATTGGTTAAAAGACTGCTTCTATATGGTGAAATTACAAAACTACCATTTCAGTTCCTGGATCTCTCGGGAAACGCGTGTTGTAAATTGAGCTAAATGAACAGAACAGAACAGTTGTTCCTTTGAAATGCAAATAGTTCTCGTCTAACAAAGGGACACCTAGAAAAGTACACGTGTTCTATTGAAATTACATGTCAAGTTGTCCATTATTTGTACACATATTTCTGCCTGCATTTTGCATAATACGTGCCGTTTAGGTGCGGAGTTTTAGCAAGATACGAAAGAGTT